AAACCTTAATCTCAAGTTTTCAGCATCAAAACTATTATTTTATTTTTATCTTCCCGTCCTCATTAAGACATACTCTCCCTTTTTAGAGTAGTGGTGGTAGCGATACCACCTGTAGACCCTTGGACTTTACTGGTGACCGGTACAATTAAGGAATGTTCCTGATGCAAAAAAAAATCTATTTAACAAGATCCAATTTTGAGGTTATATTATTGGAAACAGACGACTCATCGACCTCTTTCAACAGCTTTTCTTCTTCTTCTCTGCTGAGCTTAAATAAAGCCTTGTGTTAAACCTACTGTAATGGTGGCTTAAAATGTTCTTCAGCTTAAGCCTCATTCGGAGAGTGGGGAAAGTCAATATTGAGCTTAAGCTGCTACTTAAGCTAAACATCAAAAGGAATATGCCGGCCTTAGTCACTAACAAGACTACAAGATCGCGCCACTCATCCCACACTCATCTCCATTCATACTTGGCACATACCTATGTATGGTCGCCATTTCAAAAGACAAGTATTAAAGTACAATACCATTTCAACTTTAAACTGTGTACCGCCACGACATAACATGGCGATCTCAGTTGAAGAGACATAATATTTCGGCGGCGAAACCTCACTCTCAGGCAATCTTTTGAGACCCGCCACAATTATAGCTGCTCGGTCGGGGTCGACCATTAACAAAATTATTAAGGGTTGACGGCGGGTGGATCCAAAAAAATGAATCAAGCGGGAAAAAAGATTAAATCCCGTAGCAAGAAAGACTTCAGGGTGGTAGAAAGAGAGGGAGAATTAGAGAGACCGCATTCCAATCCAAACCTGAGAAACTCCCAGGCTTAACTTCTTTGGGGATTGAGTAGAGATGACTCAAGTTTCAAATTACGCGTGAGAAAGTTTTAATTTGTTTTGAGTCGCTTATGAATAATAGAAACATAAAACCAAACCTCAAAATATAACTCCATGATTAAAACATGGTTTGAATTGCTTTAGAATGGAACATATTTGTTAAGGCATCATTAAAAAATATATAGGAAATTGTATCATAAATGCTTTACAAGCATTTAGGCATGTTGTCTCCATGCAGTATTTATATTACTGCATAATTTAGTAAGAGTTGACCCAATAACGAAGGAGCTTTCAAATAGATTTTTTGACGATGGAATTACAAGATATTGAGGTTTATTTTGATCCCTAGTAACTCTTAAGAATACATAGGTACAACTAAACTCAATTTTTATTTCATGTAATTTATATAATTTTAGACTTATGTTTTCAAACCTCTTCTTAATATTCATTTCAACCTAGATTTTGAAAAATATGTAAAAATTATAACTATAGTTAGAAGTTTTAAGTACCACTATATTTTAAGATTGAATAAGGTCAATATTTCAGTTTCAAGCTTAACAAGTTTTAAACTATTTTGTTGTTAACCATGTCTAATTGGTACATTGAACTGATATAATTTTCTTCAAAAATGTTTATACCTACTTTTAAATGTATGGAATGATTTTGATCGATATTATTACCGGTTTAGCCTATTTTATAGAAGCATTGTGTTGTTTTTTTATTTTTATTGGCCCCTTTTAAACAGTTATTAGTTAGATGGATAAATATAGTGACCGAAAAGTAGAATAGAAATAAATTTAATTCATCTATTTGCACTTGCTGTATCGAAAATGTGTCTTATTTACAACAAAAGCACTATAATTGTAGTATTAAAAATTGAAAATGCTGTTATTGAGATTAATTGCTTCTGAATAACATTGTTGAACACATAGTGACCCCGGTTATTCATTGTTATTTGTTGCAAATTGATATACTTAAGGGAAAATGTTGACATTGATTTGATAATAAGTAGATGATAAAAGTTTGAATAGTATAGTTAACTTCAAAAGTTAAACCTAATTAAGTGATGAAAGTACTCACCAACAGTCCCTGTACAGTCACCATGATGTGCGTGTGCGCGTGCGTGCGTGAGGGCGTGATGAGATGATGAGGTGACGCGAGGAGGGTCTGCCCAACTGGGCCGCCGCGCCCTCTCGTCCAAATATATACCTCAACCCTGGCCCTGACCTAACCTGAGTCACTACACTACTGAATCAGAAGTGATCCGGTGTTGTCCTCCAAGACTTGGGCAACCGAATTCCATTGGAGATGTCCTTAAAGAGCTAGGTAACTGAAACCATTGGGAATGTACTCCGAGACCAAGACAACTTAAACCATTGGTGATGTCCTCCGAGATCTAGGCAACTCAAACCATTTGTGATGTTCTTCGAGATCTAGACCACGCAAACCATGGTGATCTCCTCCGAGATCTAGGCAACTCAAACCATTGGAGATGTCCTCCGAGACCTAGGCAACTCAAACCATTTGAGATGTACTCCGAGACCAAGACAACTCAAACCATTGGTGATGTTCTTCGAGATCTAGACCACCCAAACCATGGTGATCTCCTCCGAGATCTAGGCAACTCAAACCATTGGAGATGTCCTGCGAGACATTCTCAACTCAAACCATTGGTGATGTCCTCAGAATCCTAGGCAACTCAAACCATTGGTGATGTCCTGCGAGACCTTCTCAACTGAAACCATTGGTGATGTCCTCAGAATCCTAGGCAACTCAAACCATTGGCGATGTCCTGCGAGACCTTCTCAACTGAAACCATTGGTGATGTCCTCAGAATCCTAGACAACTCAAACCATTGGTGATGTCCTGCGAGACCTTCTCAACTCAAACCATTGGTGATGTTCTCCGAATCCTAGACAACTCAAACCATCGGTGATGTCCAGCGAGACCTTCTCAACTGAAACCATTGGTGATGTCCTCAGAATCCTAGGCAACTCAAACCATTGGCGATGTCCTGCGAGACCTTCTCAACTGAAACCATTGGTGATGTCCTCAGAATCCTAGACAACTCAAACCATTGGTGATGTCCTGCGAGACCTTCTCAACTCAAACCATTGGTGATGTTCTCCGAATCCTAGACAACTCAAACCATCGGTGATGTCCAGCGAGACCTTCTCAACTCAAACCATTGGTGATGTCCTCCGAATCCTAGACAACTCAAACCATTTGTGATCAATTTTCTTTATATCATCGATATGTCTAAGCTGACGTATAATGCCATGTATTGTCATTTGACAACCGTAACAAACTGTTTGGCACATATGTAGCACAGTCTTCACTGTTCGCAAACACTGTCAATATGTACTTTCATGTAATTTGAATGCCCATGTATTGGATCCGGCACTGATCTGAACGGAAAGCTGATAGGCATTGAATCGGTAATTATTCAACTTGCCGTTCTTGCCTAGAGAGTTTCAATAATAATTGAAACTTTAGGCAAGATCTCTAGGCAAGAGTGTTAGTTAGTCATAATTTGAATATCAGCTTATTGGCTTGGAAGAAATATTTATCAATGAATCGAACTCAAATGTGTTATCATCATGGTTATTAATATTACAGAAGTATTTCAGTCTGATTAGGTGCCTAGATACTATAAGTTCCTTGTGAGCTCCTTGAAACCTGTACTTGTTCCAAAATGTTAAAATAGAGTTGCACCATATTTATTTTAAAATTTTGTGCACATTGTTGTGTCATTGTGTAGTCATACAATGCGGTGATTTAACGCAGCCCGAAATACAAGTATAGAATGTCGCTGTTTCCAAAGGAATCTTTTTCTGGCATCGCTGCTTCCTCTACCCGATTCCAAATTTGATAATAAGTTGCCATCGTCTTTTGCAAACAGTGATTCTCTGTCTTGTAATTCGGGTTACATCAAAAACCTGTATAATAGATTTTACACACCCTAAGACCTGTACAGAGAAAAGTGACGGCTATAAATTAGAAATCAATCAAAAACTAGTTTATCTATTACCTATTACAGTATGTTAATTTATTTGTTACTGTTATTTCAAATGCACGCGGTTACCAGTTTTAACTATATGAGAAATAGTTGAATGAATCTACTCAGTGTCCAAGGTCAGTGAGTGTATTGCATCTCCATTCACATTTCATCGCATGATTTAAACACCCGTGGCTAGATTCTCACGGCTGTGATATTTACGAGTAGAAGAACACATAAACATTTCGACAAAGTCTTGCATCACTGTGGTCATTCACAGGGCGATGACCTGCTGTAATATAATAATCGACGCTAGACGAAGAAGTCTTAGTCATTTCCATAATTCTCACAGGTTTTCGGTCCTCCTCGGGGTTCGGAACGGGTTAGAAACCCTTTTTGATGTCCAGCGGCTTCGAAAAAGGATTTTTTCCTTCCCCCTCCACCTCATAAGAGCTTCCTGGAACGGTTTAGCCCCAGCAAAAGGGGTGATTAGAGTAATTGTAATCTATTACTGCACGCAACCCTTGTTTTACATTATTCCAGTGTTTGTTATCAATCAGGATAATTTGTGATCGTTTTCTGTGTAAACCTGATTCTATACCTCGAGATGGTGGTCTATAATTGAGCTTATCATGTGTTTGAATTGTAATTCTTAATCGAAACTCAAATTCTCTATCAATCCATTATAAGAGAATGAAATTCACTTTATTAAATCGTTGAAATATTCGTAAATTGTGAATGAAATACTAAACTATACTTTAGCAGCCCATGACATCTTTACATTTACCTAAAACCTCTTACGGATAATTGATTTAAAAGTAAAAATAAATTCGAATTAGCCTCATTCGTTAAAAACTATACAATAAATATTATCCATTATCTTATATTTAGTTCATACATCTGTTAAAATAAAGTTGTTTACGTTATATCACTTCATTATATTTACGTTTGATATTTGACTAATGTAAACATAACGATTGCTGAAAATAAAATCATTTTAGTTATTGATTCAATCATGTACTTATTATTCTAATATATACCGATTTCGTTCGTGCAGTTTCAAACGTCTTTGAACCGGATCAAATAATTCCAACCGAAATAAATTTAGCGTCAGCTGATCTTTAACTCTTTTCCATCTCATTATTTGAAACATGTGTAGTTGGAAGACAACATAACCAAAGTCTTGACACACATTGAGGAAACTCAGAGTGGTATTTTAAAATCTTGTCTGAGTGATTGCACTAGAATTTCCGCCATGTCTGAACGGAAAGCTGTCATCAAAAACGCCGACATGTCGGAGGAGATGCAGCAAGACGCTGTGGACTGCGCAACTCAAGCTCTCGAAAAGTTCAGCATCGAGAAGGATATTGCTGCCTTCATCAAGAAAGAATTTGACAAGAAGTACAACCCTACGTGGCATTGCATTGTGGGAAGGAACTTCGGCAGCTACGTGACCCACGAGACGAGGCACTTCGTGTACTTCTACCTAGGCCAAGTCGCCGTGCTTCTGTTCAAGAGTGGATAGAACTTGGCAAATGAACTATGAGGCAGCCTAAATGAAAATTTAAGGTCTTGTACGTAAGCGATATCTTTGAAGAGGTATTTGATTTTGAAAGCGGAAAATGGTATGGACTATTGTAGTTTGAGAATTTTTGTTTTATGTGGTAAATTTTTGTTTTGGTCATGCATATTGAATCAATGGAATTAATTAATAAATTGTTTTAGTTTTTGTTATGTTCTGTTTTTATTTTTTCAAACAACTGAACAATCAGCATTCAGGTAATGTAGTAATAGTAATTTAAACATTTAATAACAATATGTAACAGGTATTAAAGAATATTAAAAAAGTTATAAGTGTGGAGTAAAAGCGATTCTCCATATTTTGGAACTAACGACGATATTTTTTAGAACCGTTGAGATCCAATAAATAGAACGCAATATTTTTGGCAGATGGTTTTGGCTACTAACTTTGCATCCTCCTCATGTAAAATTAAAAGGTCTCTCGGTATGTCACTCATGTTCTCAAATTTTACTCATCTCATATTCGTCGGAAATGTTAAAAAGCTCTACCATATTCCTGCCATATTCAAAGACGCTTTTTCAAACTAGAGTACGGTACTAAGCCAACTACACTTGTTGTCATTCGACAATAGGCCTAAGATGCCCTCTTTATGGACTTTACTCACTCCAGTCCTGACTATTTTCCCCTGCGTTTGCGATGCTTCTAAGAAAAAAAACTTACTTTAAACCCTAGTTTTAGGTTCCATAGATAGACTATAAAAAATTGGTCAATACAATTTGGCTAGCCGTTGATTTCAGTAGTTGTTTTGCATTGCATTTCTTGCTGTGTTGTATGGTTTTATCCATTCACATGAAGACTGACTAACGTATGGAATATGCTAATCTTTCCTCACTTCATTGAAGTTATCAATCAAGCAGGCGCCACAGAACACAGTTCCAGGCTTGTTTGTGGTTGTACACCCTCGAGTACGTTTACCTTGCTCTCCTGGATCTTACAAAGGGTTTGTTTATTCTCTGAGAAGAATCCCACCAAAACAAACACTGAATCCTGTGGTTCCGACCGGAATGACCGGTCAATGAATGAGTCTCTAGCGTCCGGTCCATAGATCACTGTGGCACATACAAGCACATAACGGTCCTAGGAGAGAGGTGGACTTTGGAAAAAGTGTTTTTCAACTTCTAAAACTCCAAATCACAACTAGCGTTGGTCAAATAAAAATAGCTAAGTTTAAAGAATATTGGTCTGTAACTAAAACTTGTGTTAAAGATCAATTATTGTCGATTGTGTATATTTTCTTGAGCTTAATAACTGAACAATTCATTTTTTATGGAAACCACTTCCTAACAATTAAGACTAGAAAGAAGTACCAACTTTTGCTATGCGGTTATTGTGTCCTCTGTTGATTACCACATGTTTATCGAAATTGAATGTTTTCTTGGCATTACCACGCATTGCCTGCCTAAGAAGTTATCGACTTGGCTGTTCACCCCTGAAGCAACTCTTATCATTTTGAAGGTGACTCATGATTGGTGTTCCACTAAGCTGATGGAGGCGGAGTGTCTAGACAAAAACTAGGATGGAAGATAGGGGAGAGTTCAAGGCTATGCGTTCAACCCTTTAGTTAGATGTTTGAGGTGTTTCACCTTTAAGTAAATTCCATCGGGTTGTCAAGAAGAGGCCCGCCACTAGTAAAAGTTTCTCTATGCAAGTTAGGAAAAGTCAGGTTAGGTTAGGTTTTGAGTCAATGAAAGTTGGCTAGGTTAGGTTCGGAAGTCATATAAGTTGGCTGGGTTAGGTTAGGTTAGGTTGGGTTGGGTTGGGTTAGGTTGGGTTAAATCAGACGAAGGTTAGGTCAGAAACTAGGTTAGGTTAGGGTAGCGCACCGATTTCATTTCCATTGGGCAAATTTTCAGCCCACTTTTTGGATGAGATCTAATTCCATAAATTAGTTGAACACTGGAAGTCAATAAGGCTGTGAATAAACTAGTAATTGTTTTAGGCCGACATACACAGATTCCTTTCAGGATCGTTCCTAACTCGCATCATACACTCGGGGTTGCCCTAAAATTAGGGAACACATAAGATAAATTGCTACTCTCTCCTAATGCCAAATTAAACGTAAACGTGTCATTATAACGGTTAAACAGTTTTTCTTGTACTTTTTGATAATAATAATCAAATTGATGCAGGATAAATAAGTGTTTTTAGCATGTCACCAAACGAAAAATAACATTGCAATGAAGAAATTTAACTTGTCTTTTGGTAATAATAATGTTCACACCATTTCAGCTTGAATATAATTGTAATCTAAAAGTTAATTTACCCTTGAAGGAATAATTTATTCAAAGTCCAGTTACAATCTGTCTAACAAAATTATACCACCATTGAATTCATTTTTCAATCTATTAATTTGGTCCTGAGAGGGAAGCTGTAAAAGGTGTTGTAAATGATCGTAAGATCTTATCGGTCTAATGAACAGTGACGTAAAAAAACAGAAATCAATCAGTCAAATTCCTCTGGTTTGATGGACGCCACCAGCAATGAAGGTGAGGTAATGTATTCACGGCGCAGGGTCCAATATGTCTGCCCTGGGGTTAGTAGCATTCTTCTTACCTCTAACAATTATTCCTTGAGCTCCCGCTACACAAATTACAAAATGCCGAGAATTCCAGACCTGACGCCAAGTCCAGCGTCAGGGAATCTTCTTATCTCGAATGAGTTAGCAGTAAACTATGAACTATGTTGTTGGGCCCTCATAGAAAAACTTCATTATGGAGAAGGTAAGTGTGCAATGAATGTGTTAAATGTATTAGACAATAAGATGAATTTAAACCTTCAAATCGTCCACAATTTGCTCTTCGTCGTGTTGAAAGACAATGAATCAACTTTTATGTATTACATGCATAGCATTATTATTTTTAGACAATGCAAAATGGTTTGTAACTACCAATAAAAGTTTTAAAAAGTTAAAACTTTTCCTTCGCTGTCTATTGGTATTAGGATCTTGAGGTTATAAGAAAAACTTGAAACATAGTTTACTCTGAGAGATAACTCAAGACTGATCATAAAAACATGTTTTGTAAGATTGTTGATATCTTAAACTGATCTTGAGATTTTAACTTTTTGTTTTCATGAAAAGTGTTATTTTCTAACGCCGATCCAAGGAGTGCTACACAATATTTTCAAAGAAGGTGGTAAAACCTAAACCTAAACCAAATCTAACGTATAGCGTTTAGAAGATAACGTTTTGACCACAGTGTATCATTGTTACGAATTACAAAAAAAAAACCCCGCCGCAGCAAACCTGCCGTCTAAGCGAATTTCCATTTGGCCGAATTGATTTTCAATTGATCTATTTAAATAACATTAGGTTTAACGAGTACCTAGGTTTGCTGCTACAAGGAAACTAATAAAGTAGTGTTTTTAGTAAAATATTGATAGCTTACTATAAAATAAATAAATTTGCCAAGTTTGATCAAAATATATCCATAAACAAGCAAACTACAACATTTTACAATATTCTCCATAAGAATAACATGGGAATTTTAAATTTACCATTTTTTTAGTTTTCTCCGTAACCAATAACCGTACAAAAACACTTTGATATACTGAATTGTTTGTTTTTTTAAGCTCTTTAAGAAGGTTTAGAGAAAAATTAAGAAATTTTGTGTTTTGAGGGTAAAAAGTGAGAAAACCCTATTTTTACCCCATAAAACCCCCCATAAAACCCTGTTACCATGGTCCGATCATGCTGGATCGCGAACTCATTCAAGTTTATCCCGCCTTACACCTTCAAACCAAATTTCATCAAAATCGGATAAAAATTACTCAAGTTATCGTGTTCACGGACACATATATATATATAAATCTATATATATATATATATATCTATATCTATATATATATATATACATATATAAAAATTTGAACGAATGGTGTTTTTGGCCTCTGGGGACATTAAAATGAAAAAGTAAATCGGTCCCGGGCCTAAGTCTTACCATGAGACCTACGGTAATAGCTACTTCCCTATAGGGAAATTCGCTAAAACAGTCAGTGAAACATTTCACTTTTTTTAACAACACATAAACATCTGTGTTTCATTAACAAGTAGAGCATGTTCAGAATTATGACACTTGTCAAACAACTGATCATTTAGGCCGGTAAATTAACGCATCTATTTTAATCTGTACACATCTGCCACTAGATCTGTATGCTTCTCCCCTTCCAGCCTAAAACCATTGACTATTGGATACAGTTGTTGTATTAATAGTCAAAGCTAAAACGTTATTCAATTCGAGGTCTAGGATTTTTTAATATAACAATATAACATCCTTTTCTGACCCTTTCTTAATATTATGAATGATCGTTTCAGCCAATTTAATTCTGCAAGTTCTTTTATTTCAGAAGTTCTTAATCATGACAAGTTTCATTGGAAGAATACTCTCGCCGCTTCCGTGGTGAAGACCTGTTGTCCAGTGGTTGAGGTGATGAAGTCTGGACCACAAGAAACGTTATCAGATCTGAGATGAGTCAGCTTAACATCGCGGCAACTCTTTGACCCCCCCCCCTGCCACCCCCTCCTACCAAGGATGACTAGGGCTATGGTAATGCTCTTTTCTTGTTTTTATTTGCCCTCCAATATCCGACCTCAGACCCGCTATTGAGCCGCGAACAGCTTTAGATTGAATAGGTGTTGTGGTGTTAGGAAGCTTCAAGACATTTTATCCACGAATATATTGTAATGTTTACTCAAAACACCTACTTGAGTGTAATAATGATTTAAAACCTCTCATATTTTTAACATATGCTTATTTGCAGGTATATTAGGCAGATTGTAGGATAAAACCTATATTGATAGAAGTAGGTTAACATCCAAAAGTCAAAGATTAAACTTATATGCTGTAAAGTACCTATTGACATAGGATGTGTGTTGTTGTGCCTGGTTATTTTCGTCTTCCATCTCATAAATATGTTTAAAATTACATACTCTATGACCTAGGTGCTTCCTGCAACTAAGGTCTGAGTAACAGATTAACATTTAATACAGTATATGTATCAATTGAATAACTACAAAAGATTAAAATTAATTCAAATGAAATTCTTTGGTGTCCATGATCTCCACATTGTTCACTAATCGTTAACATTAAAGAAACATAACGTAATCTAGAACCCCAAGGTAAATAAACAAGCCAGGCCGGGTTTGAAGCGTTTATTGTCGCTTAGTCCTCCTCATCGTCAAAGTTGAAGCGTCGTTTACCGTCGAACCTGAACCCGTAGGCCGGACTGTTGTTGGTGTCCACCAGAGCGGGATGCCGGTGTTGGTAGAAAGAAGCATGGCCGTGGCTGCAACAGGGGTCGTAGTTAAGGGGTTAACAACTAAACTAAACCATTTTTAGGTTAGGTTTAAACTTAGACTATGTATAGGACTCGATTTCACCCAATGTTAAATTTGTTGCCAGCCTTTATTAACAATTTTCAAGAAGTATCCCACGTGGAATTGCATTGTGGGTAGAACCTTCGGCAACCACCATAGCCTCCTCTATTAAAAGGTCATCTACTATTGTATGGCACTGTCGCAACGGCCGGTCTGTTGCTTTAGTAATAACCACAATAACATTAATAACAAACGTAAACATAAACGTTGCACAGAGGTTCCATTGTCAAGTTGCAACAGCTGTTTCGACAGGCCAGAATTGCGGCGTTGCCACTTTTGTCTCGTCGCTATTAGAGGAGGACATCCAAATTAAATGTGCTTACATCTAAAATTGTTTCCAACAGGTTACCTCACCTGGGACGAGAATTGCCGTTCTCAACGCCGTAAGCCTCGCGAGGGTAGAAGGCCTCGAAGGCGGTGTCCTTGCTGGGCAGAACTGACTGTAGGTTTGGATCATCAGGATCATAGGGTCGTCCCAGGACAGCGGTCATCACACAGCACAGAACCACGGCTGCCAACATCTGTACAGAAGAGTCATCAGGAAGACGTGGTGGCATAAAGGGATATTTTTGTCGGTGTCCAGAGAGATTCAGATAATGTTTCATCTATGAAATCTTAAATTGATTACAATGTGTGGGCTATATTTCTTCATAAAGCTGTTGCAATAAATCAAATTGTTACCTGCTGTATCAAGAAAAATGTTTGTAATTAGGAAATGTAATTGCATCGTGAGTAGAGCTTTGTGCTTGTGATTTATACATTCTAAGACCATCAATGCCATAACCACTACTCAATGACACTACCTAATAGGATGGTAAACAAACTATCAAACAAATTAATTTTGAACCAATAAATTATTAAATTACAGTCTCATCTAACTTTACATGATTGGTTTAAATATCACTAAAGTTTCTATTAATTTTCATCCGAGAATAACATTTTTAATTGAAATATTCCTTAGTGTAAATGTAACATTAAATGCAAACTAATTTGATCAAAAAATCATGGTTTAACGTTCTCGCAATAAAATAAGCTTTAGAGCATCAAAAAGTACAATCTGCGGGCCTTGCCCCTTGGGAAAAATTATTACTTAGGTCAATTCCCAGTCTAAGTCATTATTATTGTAAGGATATGTTGGGATACTTAATTCACTTTTATAATTTACAAAAGTATTACTTCCCTTTCAAATTACAAAAATGTCATGTCTTAACTTAACCAACCTCAGCACCACCCTCATTTAAAGGAGTTCGTGAAAGTGGACGGATTTTCACCTTTAATACAATATTAAACTTTGCCACGATTTGAATAATTAACGATGTAAAAATTTACTTTTCTTATGAACTCAGAACTCAACAAAGAGGAAAAGAACAAAACACAGACACAACTCAATGTTAACAAAACATAACATTTTAGTTTTTTGCGTATTCGCAATCTACAAGCCCAAATAACTGTTCAGTCCAGATGACAGTATTTGCTATACTGTTTTGGTTTGATCTAAACAGCCGCCATTGACCAGTGACCACGTGCCTGACATAACCTAGACCGAGAGGAATGACTGCACTTACCTTGACGGCGACTGACGCTACCATCACAAAAACTGGTCTACGCCTGGGCTGCCCTAACCTCTCACTTTCACTGAGACGACGCAACTATTGTTTCAGGTTGCGTGGACGTCCTGGCAAACTGACGAACAAACTGGGCTGTCTTGCCAAACAAACACAGCAAACCCGCCTACCTAAACAGCCTTGAACCCGGGGTAACTCTTGGACGAATGGATAACCGGAAGGTTACTTAGATTAACTACATTATTTTCTTAATTATTGTGCCGTCAAAGGAAGATGTTAAGAGATTTTACCCTAAGAGTAACTGTTTACAGAGATTTGTTTACGGGGAGTTAACTTTTACCGGAGTATTTAACGGTCGTTTATATCGACTAATATCTACGTACCTTTGGCTGTAGAAACATAATTTAACATTTACGACTGAAAAATATCAGTTCCAACTAAAAACCGCTCATTAATGTGAGCGTTAATTATATTCTTACGGATTCATGATTTACTATGTACTGTAGTGAGAGTTCACAGGGTTTGTCAGAGCATCGGTATAGTTAAATGAAAGTGAAATTAAACATTTATTTTTAATTCTTTGATAGTTGATACGCTTCTGGGTTTTAATGATAACTTCTTAGGGAGGGTACTGCAACACAAAAAATAGATCGGGAGGGATCTCTTCGAAATAAGAGATATGAACGTCCTCGCGTACCCCAGCAAGAAACTATTCCCAAAATAACTCAGTGACTTATCCCAAGCCGCCCCGAGATCGTAATCTCGCCGACATCAGTACTCGTCCATGCAGGATAAATCCTGGACCGTTATCAGGTGAACGACCCAGCCCTACGGTGGGAACCATCCTAGAATCACCTGAATAATTAGATAAACCGGTCAGCTCTATTAATCAATAGTCCGGCATGGACCCTGTTGTTACTGGGACATAACCATTCAACAGCGTAGTGAAGACATAACTGAGTAATCGACACGTCTGTCTGGCCTTTGTAGTCTCCCATGTAGCACAGATGGTTGGGCCAACGTTGGCCAACTGTGGGACAGTTGGTCGATGGTTGGTTGGAGCTTCCACAACCAACCAACCGTTGTCCAACTGTATATCTCGTAGTTGGGCCAACCAATATTTACAACTGTGGACCAACATTGGTTCATTGTTAATGAAATACATTAATATGCATTGCTGGGTATCATACATCAAGCCAACCGTTGTCCAACCGTTTTTCACTCCGTTGGACCAACAAAAGATACTTTTGTTGGACCAACGATGGTCCATAGTTGAGTTTACACGACTTTCATTCTCTGGGTCTAGCTTTCACAACATAATTATAAATAAAATATCTGGTATTACAATACCTTTATCAGTTCCAAAAGTTTGCAAAAGTTTTTGGAACTGATAAAGGTATTGTAAAACCAGATATTTTATATATTACAGTTCCGGGGCTACAACAATGAATTTTAATAATTATAATAATGCAAATATTTTTTAAATTAATATTCTTTAACTTATTTGCAACAATTTAAGGGGAAAGAGTAATTAATCATATAACAGGCAATTATGATAGCATTAATAATCTAACAGTAATTAATTAATCTATATTCAAATACCAGTATCCTCTCTAACTCCAAAAAAAAATAACTACTTATGATGCCTTAACAGAATCATATTATACTGTGTAGTATCAAAAATGTTTGAAGTATTGCGACCATTGCAACTGTCGGCTACTCTTTCACCACTTGAAAACTCTCCATATCAACAATCACAGATAGCTCAGTGGTAAAGTAAGAGGCTCACAAGTCGAAGGACCCGGGTTCGAGACCCCTCTGGGCCAAAAAATTTTGTTCTAGTTTTTTTTCAAAATTTGTTTTTATGAACTATTTAATCAATTTACTTAACTAATAATTATGCTTTTCGTACTAAATCTTTATTATTTTGTGTGAAATAAAACGGTTGGACAATGGTTGGCTGGAAAACAGTTTAAAGAGGTGACATTTCTACCGTTGGCCAACTGTGTGGCTCCACAATTTACCAACGTTGGCCCAACCATCTGTGCTACATGGGCTATTACGAGGTTTGATGGCTACGGTTTATATTGTAGACTAACTTAGGGTGTAGTTAAACTGTGTATAACTCGTATCGTTGACATTTGAAACTAGTTGAAAAGTGATGCAATTTTCACCCATATGAGTAAAGGATGAGTGTAGAATGGTGTGAGATCTATGTAGCTTGCTTGTTACTTCGTACTATTTAAGGTTAGCTGGTTCATCAGTCAATATCATTATTTATTTAAAGCCCAATGATCAGGAACATCTGGGTCTGGGCCCAGTTTCGAACCATCAAAAAGCTCTGACTTTCATAGATTAAACATAGTGTAAGAGTCTAAATTTGTTTGCTTGTGTAATTTGTGTGCATTTTTTGCATATAGACTTAACAATGTACATTCAATTGACTTAGGTCTAAGTATGTTATTTTTTCACAAGTTTCATGGCAATGTCAGATGTTTTTTTCAACATTAACTTTTTGGCACATCTTATAAAGAATCAACCGTAAAAAATATGACTGTTATTCGTTTTAAAATAACGCCTGTAATACTTAGCAATTGCTCGATTTCGAGCAACAGGGACACTAGTCTTTTATATTAATACGTGAGGGCTGTTTTTTGTGAACAAAACTCCTCCGTTATTTCTGGACGATTTTAACGTTCAAGGTGTCAAATGATTTGTCTCAATTTGTAGTTTTGCATAAAGGTTTTAGAATTTAAAATCCCTTACCCTTAACAGCAAAAACTCCTCCGTTATTTCTGGACCGATTTTAACGTTTGAGGTGTCAAATGATTTGTTTCAATTTGTAGTTTGCATAAAGGTTTTAGAATTTAAAATCTCTTACCCTTAACAGCACGAGACCCTCTCAAAGGTTGAATTTTCCCCATAAGAATTACATTGAAAACAAATTTAAAAAACAAAAAAAGCTGTTGGCCTATATAAAAATAAACTCACCATCTTTTTTGGGAGTAAATATTGATGTTTGTAATATTTAGGAGGTTATAAATTAACCGAAACAGTTAATCTGTTTTGTTGGAAGAACAAAAAATTTCTTGAATTTAAAGGAGAAATATTGAAAACAGGAGGAGGAGACAATTAATAGGAAATCTTATACTTATGAGAAGAGTAGAATAGAGGCCCTTCACAGTAAGGAATCCAGGTACACAATCACTTGGAGAGATGAATCATTTTTGCCAGTTATGCTAAGCAACTTACTTTGGAAGTAAAAAAAAACCATGAAACACATCATGTTGTCACAGTGATAAAGTAAACCTACCTAAAGTCAGATTAAATAAATACATGCAAGAAATGTTTACTGGTAACAGCTTTAAGTCGGGAAACATTTGTAGAATACACAAAAAAATAAGGACTGGTCCAAAAATGCTAAAATATTTTTACAAGAAGCGTTTATTTATTATTTCAAAGTGCTATTAAATACCGCGAGTATTTCAATTAGTTACATAAGCATTTATTTGGGTCTTTTAAACTCATCAAACATTATGACTGTTATTACTGTAGTTTTAAAATAACATCTGTATAGTACCGGTATTTGACAATTGCTCGATTTTGAGCAACAGGTACACTAGTCATGTTGAATAGAAGATAAAAGCATTATCTCAACTCAAAATCAAATATTTCACTTGAGCACTTAAGTATTTTATGTTATAGATTGGATTACTCAATGATCAGATACTAAGATGAACATGTTAGGTTTTACAAGGCAACTAGTCTTGGAAGATTAAGGTTTCTAGTTTCTGTTATGTGATGTTTCCCATCAAATGACAAGCACATTGCACTCATTTACTGCTACCAGCATCGGCTGCGCCTGGGAGTGACAAGAGTTGTTAATATTAGAGTCATAGACTGAACAAACTACTTCAACAGTTTTATCACCCATTCTGAATTAGCTGAAGATAGTTTGTAAATAAATGTGTATTTTGTACTTGAGTGCAGTATCTCCTAAGGTACATTTAATTACTGATTTTTATCGTATATGCAGACTTTTTAACCAAGTCAAGCTGATGACTTACTGTACGCTAAACCATAATTTATTTAGTGTCAATTATCTCATCTCGGAAACAAAAAAAGGTAGAAAAGAATAGACTCTAGCACAATCTGTGACTGGCTTACAGAATTATGTTCTTTCTACAAAATTTGTGACAGCTGGTCCATAAAGATGGGAAATCTCCTTCAGTAAAAAAATCCAATAGTAAATTTTTAAAGTCTGATATAACCATTGATAAAACATACTCCCTTAGTCTATGATATAACCATACCAAATCTGTTTGCAAACTTAAAGCTTAAGCCACAGCAAAAATTACAACAGAATGTGTGATATTTTGTTTTATCAAAAACATTATAAACATTTTGTTATTAACTCCAGTGTGAATGCGGTTTTCAGTGATAATCTCCGTTTGTTGAAATAAGAGCAGCAATGCAGCCCTTGACAGACTAAATGGAGGCAACATTTTTCCTTCATGGCGCTGTTTGGATGTACCGGTACCCTAATTTGAAACAAGTTCATCAATTCTCCACCATTAATTGTTGCAGTTTCTGAAAAAAAAAGAAAAAAAATACCCCCGCCGCAGCAAACCTGCAGACTAAGCGAATTTCCATTTGCCTGATTGGATTTACACTAAAATGTCTCCTTAAAAATATCACATTTATTCCTGTTTAAATAGAATCAGTTTAACACATACTTAGGTTTGCTGCAACAGGGAGGGTAAAAGTGTTGTTTTATGTAAAATGTTAATAGTTAGTAAGAAATTAAAACATTTTCCAAATTTGGGCAAAATATGTTAATAAACAAGCAAACTACAACAGTTTACTTATTCTCCATAAGAATAACATGGGAATTTTAAATTAACAATTTCTCCGTAACCATTAGGCGCATTATAACGCTTAAATATACTAAATCATTTGTTTGTTGAAGCTCTACAAAATAGTTCGGGAAGAAATTGCAAAATTTTATGTTTTTTGGGTCAAAAATTGGAAAAACCCATTTTTACCCCATAAACCCCCGTTCCCATGGTCCGATCATGCTGGTTCGCGAACTCGTTCGAATAAACGTAGGCTTACACGTTTGTACCAAATTTCATCAAAATCGGATCATTTTTGCTCGAGTTATCGTGCTGACGGACACATATATATATATATATATATATATATATATATATATATATATACAGTAGAACCTCTTTAATCCAAACCCCTGTAAGCCGAACATCCACTAATCCGAACCCCTCATTGCTGTACTCTATACACAGTACAGCAGTTCTTTATTGTATACTTTATTTAATTTACAGTACTGTTTATTCTCACCATGTTTACTACTGTATTAAAAAAACACTGTATTTTACTTTATAAAACATTTTTTCACTTTACCAAAATAATGTTGATCAATTTTAGCCATGTTTTAGCTAATTTTATGTAAAAACAAAACAACAATATGCTCTGTAATCCGAACTATTCATTAGTCCGAACTACCCCTGGTCCCAATTAGTTCGGATTAAAGAGGTTCTACTGTATATGAATTTGAACGGATGGTGTTTTTGGCCTCTAGGGACCTCAAAACGAAAAAAAAAATCGGTCCCGCGTCCAGGTCTTACCATGAGTACTACGGTAATAGCTTATTCCCTATATGGGAAATTTGCAAAATTTTTTTTTTTTTTTAAGAGGTTGGCGGCCTCTTTTAACCTTGCATTTGCCCATCCACATAGACTACAGATCTGTGCGTGGAACGTATCCAGCAAAGCAAGGGGTGAGCCGGTACAGTACAAAGGTGAACTGTACTGATAAAAGTTAGTGGCAGTGACCAGGATCCGAACCCACGACACTACTGCCTTGGGCCCGAAGTCCGCGACGCTACCAACTGAGCCACCGACTCACCAAATTATTCCCTATACGGGAAATTCGCTAAAAAGAATCTATACACCAGTCACCAGTATCCAAGGGATGGCCCAATTGGTTTATTTACACACTAAATATTTATGGGATTAGAAGCATGATCACCAAAATGTCGAGCCTAAAACTCAATATAGGAGAGAATATCGATATTGACAGTGGTTAAGTTCTCATATTATGATCTGATTTATTTAAAGCTTTACATATTATTGAATTACATATAAGACATTTGGCGTAGGGGTTGATGATCCCATCGCCCAGTGGCTAGCCATTGCAAACAGCCTCCCTGACTCCCTACTCTTCAACTGAGCAGGGTCTATCTTTTTACTCCATGTTTTTCTTTTCCCAAGCATGGACCAACTGTCTTCATCTTTCTGTCTCTACTCTCTTCTTCTCCCTTTCCTTCTTCTGTTACAGGCCAACCCAAGGTGGGCCGTGCTGAAGGGTAGATGGTACCAGCCATATTTTGTATGGTGTCTGAATGTTACCTTCTTCAGGATACCAGACGCCCTCCTGCAGTAAGCAGGGTTGCCTGGGCATGCGGGGCTCTGTCCAGGGGCCCTATTTTTGAAATGGTTGACTGTTGAGTTGAGTGTCGAGTCATTCTATTTCCAATCGTTTCGTATTTTTGAAACGGTTGACGGACTTATACAACCAAAACTACTCAACACCTATCGAGCTGTTGAGTGGAGGTTGACTGCACTTTCTTCTTCCTCTCTTTCGGCAAAAAATTACTCTTTTTGAGACGACGCCATATTGTTTTGTTATTGCTTTAATTTACTAATTGCGATTTAGAGGTTATGTATTTGTTGTCAATGTATTAGCACCCAATTATGCGATTGTTTTCTGTAGAATAATCGCATTTTAATTTTATTTACTGTGTCAATACTAGACTATTTAATCAAGGGTTTTATTCTTGTTGGAATGTTTGAAATAGACTAGGCATACTAATTGAACTTATTATAAGATAACTAGCTGACCCGGCGAACTTCGTATCGCCTAAGTTATAGGTTTCCCCTAAGACAGACCGATGGAAAGAAAGTACCGTTACGTTTAATTTTCAAGATGATCTCGTTCGCATCGCTCAATCACGTCCTGGTTGAAGTTCGTTCGCTACGCTCACTCACCTTTGGGTTGGAGCTCGTTCGCTACGCTCACTCACCTTTAGGTTGGAGCTCGTTCGCTGCGCTCACTTGCCTTCAGGTTAGCTCGTTCGCTACGCTCACTTGCCTCCAGGTTGAAGTTCGTTCGCTACGCTCACTCACCTTTTGGTTGCAAATTAGCTGTTGTCATAAATGTAAAAGAAATAATAGTGCTGCACCCTGTTGGTAATCCTTGTAACTTTAATGCTATTGAACATCATAGAACAGAACCAACTTGTTTAATTGAAACAGCTGTTAAGATTCATTAATTCCATTTCTCATAAGGTTAACATGGGAAACTCCAGAGCCACTGGGGCGGAGCCCTTTTAAGAATTTCCAAACGGGAAATAGTTTACGTCTGATTCGCATACCTACAGAATTTACACACCAAATTTTATAACGATCGGTGAAGTCGTTCCGGAGGAGTTTGCAGACAAACACTGTGACACGAGAATTTTATATATTAGATTATTGTTATTAGACCTATGATTTAAGGTATTAAGGATTGTGGTAGAGAGAAACAATATCATAGTTTGTTTGAATACCATTCGCCTAATAAAGGGATCAAATTAATTTAAGTTACGATATGCTTTCAGTGCAATGGCAAATAGCCGCTTTAACCTAAATAAAAAACAATAAAAAATAACATAAAACAAACTGATGAAGGAAACTAAAATAAGGTGATGTGTTCCGAAATAGAGACGAAGAAAGCAAATAATAATGTATTTAGGATGAGTGTAGGACCTAAAGTAAAGTGCAGCCTATGCCTAAACTTATAATTAGCTACACCCTAAAACAAACATCCATAGTAAATTTTATTTTTTATACTTAAGTTTATTACTTTATTTAGTTTACTTTAGTTAATTACTTAAGTTAAGGTACTTTGCAATCACTAAGATTAAGCAAGACATAACCTCAATCTCAATCTCTCAAGAACGGAGTTGACAGTTTACCTCAGTGTCTCGAAATATGGCAGATTGAGATTAGCTGCCAGATTTTAGAGTAAGAAGAGGTTAAATCGAAGTCCGCAAGAACTCTGCATTGTGATTGGTTCAAAATGACGTCATCTGAATTTTTGACGGTCGTATGCTCTACATTTCCACCACGAGTCTCTCAACTAGTGATCCCCAACTCGCTTCCCAACTGTTGGGTTTCAAAAATACCAAATCATGTTGTTGGTTGAGTTGAGTGCTGACGATTGACTCAACTGTCAACCATTTCAAAAATATGGCCCCAGGTCGACTTCAGATCCCTTTGCTTCTCGTGGGAACGCGGGCTATTACCGCAAGTCATGGAAGGGGAGGTGAATTGCCCCGACCTTTGAAGAACTACCCGAAACTAGGAGAACCTGGTGGAAAGAACAATCCTCGTAGAAAAGGGGCAGGAACCTGCCAATACCTACCCTTCTTAGAAGGGCATGGAACCTGATGAAGCCAAGAAGAAAGTGGATAAAAGGAAACATCAGCAGCGCAGGACAAACCGGCGCATTGAAAAGGAATAGGGGGACACAAGAGATTATCCCACACCTGAATAAGAACTGTTTTGAGAATGTTAACAGCTTTTATTACTCGACATTGCAGGCTCAGGAGGTCATCTGAGAAAAAATGAACATGTTCAGGAAAGTGACTGCCGATTACCAACCAGGGGAAGAAACACCCAGACTATTGGCTTAATGTGATGGATTTGTGCGAAAGAGAGCCAAGAGCTTGGGAATGCACCAAGTAGCAGTTGGAGATTTTCTGCAGTAGAACCCTACCTGACACTGAACTTCATTATGGAGTTAGGATTGGAGGGGGTTCTCTAGTTAAAGTCTGGAGACTAGTTTGGGGAACACAATAGATCCTAGAGATCACAGTATAACCCCCCCCCCCCCTAGTGTCATCAGTATTAGCAAATAAGGCATTAACATGAAAAAAACAATAAATATGCAAGACTTAAGCTATGATCCGGTTTATTTAAAGATGAATCACAAAAACCTTAACATGAAAAACAAACAATAAATATATAAAACTTCAGATAACACTAAAAAATACTATATTGTCTCACGGTTGTTTTACTTTGATTGCAGCTAGTCATAATACTATGTCTCTTAAAACAATATTTAACAAATAATATATTTTGAAAACAAAAATAGTTAAATAATTTTAATCAGTTCAGTTATAAATTCTATTTTTCTAATACAGCAAGAATTTATGGTAATTTTTGTTCATTAATAAATGGTAAATTTTTAGATAAATCACATTTAAAAATTCATGTGCCTTTTAATCATTGTCCTAATTGAGCTTTGAAATGTAATGAAATGAAAATGAAATAAAAAATCATTTGTTTACACAGTCAAAGTTAGGGCCACATGGCCCTTTCTTACCCTGTAGCTTTGTAGCTTTTTTGAGGGACAAATATATGCCATGTTCAGATTTTTAAAAAGCAACAATTCATTTAAACCCGTAAACTAATGTAAAAATAGAATACAATCTATAGTTTTTAATTATTATAAAATTGATCAGTATTTTTAATAATTTCATTATAATTTTGCCATTTCCACATTCATTAATAATAATCTGTGATGATTACATTTTGGAAAAATAAATGTGTTAAATTCATTAGACAATAAATCAAATTAAATTTACCAAACAGGCACGTTGCCCTAATAATCACTAAAATATAAAACCTAAATGATTTTTAAAAGTATTTTAATACTTAAAAAATACTTATTTGCAAATACATTAATTAATTATAAAAATAATAACTTAATCCTAAATCACGTTGATATTCGATAGTAAACACACTTTTATCAAAACCGCTTAGCTTCTCAATATAAAAGTATTTCTTAAGTCATGTTTTACAGCTACAGGAACTCATACAGAAATAATTCCATAATGTAAAAGCTACGCTAAAATTAATACAATAAAAGGCGTACATTCCACAATAGTTGTATATCTATTAAAACCTACATTTTCTATCTAATGTCATTTTAAAAATATATATAAAATATAAAATATTTCAACTGGGTGTGAAATAATTTTTCAGTGTTCAATCACGCAAACACATTTTGACACGTAAAATGTATAAACATAGTTCACAACACAATAAACGTAATTTTTAACACAAATGGTACAAAAGAATCCTGATTAACTGAGGTTCTACTAATCGAAGTTCCGTGTTCAGTTCACTGAGTATGAGTATTCACTGGATGTGTAAATTATATTAGCTTCATGTAAATATGGAAGCATTACTGTTGGATTCGGTGATCGGACTGCTAACTCGCTACTTGAGTTGCATGTTGAGTCAGATTCAACCTGTGGCTGCCCCAATTTAATACTGTCGTTATGAGTCGAGTAAGTCTAGTGACTTACTAACCTATGACGTTAAGGTTTTCTGAGTTCATTGGAGTGAAACAATGTGGGCGATTGGTTGAATGATAACCAACAGTCTGAAATTTCCAATTAAGCAATTGAAAATTGACCTACACAAAATAGTGAGTTACATTAATGGATAAAGCGCTAGTCAGAAGCCACTGGTATATGCAGAATACCAAGAAAACAAAAAGTCAGCTGACGTACTTATGTTACGTCTGCGCAGTTTGGAGAAAAAAACAAAGCACTTTTTCCACTTTTTGAAATTTTAGGGGTTAAGCAATGTTATCAATTGTAAATAGTAAGTTCTTTTGTTTGTTTCGAACCGATCCATTTACACGTTTAGTGCGGTTACACAATGCCCGGCTGCGACCGGTGGCGGTAAAAGCTAATGCGCTGCGTAGTTGAGTGTGCGAAAACATTGAAATTTAGTTTCATTCAAATAAGAGACATATACTGTGTTCCAGTCGTTTTGGACATAGTTTTACAAGAACCCAACAGATAGCAGCACTAAACAAAACTGCAAACCTGCTCAGTATTGCCAAAAGGAGGGAAAATGCAAGGCCAAAAAACCCTGATACCATTAAAATAAATCGCAAAAAAGGTGTCAATTTTCAAGGACAATTTTAAGGCTAGGTTCCATTCAAAATGCTTCCCTACAGTAATTATTATCATTATTCTATCTATTCCATTTCACTAAATACAAGCAAAAACCCCACACTGGCTACACTACACTAAATTTGGAACAGCCCCCTCCACGCATAAAATAGTCAGATCTGAGTGAAAACGAGTTATACTGGATTGAAGTACAAAACTGGCACAATAAGCAGCAATCGGACACAACGTTCCCCATGCGAGTCTGAGCTCACACTGAAGCATGGTAGGATGACGACATTTCCTGCCCCGTGACAGTCCCGCAGGTGAGAACTCTCGCCCTGTGCACTTAACGTGATAATAGTACAGTTATTACCTATCAGGCCTAAAGACGAATTTAACTCCAGCCTATACCTTTCTTAAATTGAAAATGCTGTCATTGACAGTGAAATGTACATGTTATGTATATTGGATTTTTTTTATTCGTGCAAGACTCTTTCTTATTCAGACCAGCCTGCTACCCTAACGGAAACCGCTTAAAAAGTTGCCATTGTGCATATTACATCCTTAACCGTTAATTTAACAGCAGTTAAATTATTTTTTGGTGTTTAAATCAATACTCCCTAATGTCTTTGTAAATATCCGTTTCAAACAGAGGTTTTGGTTATCCGAGATAACCTCACTTTAGATTACCTCGGTTAATCAAGATTCTTCTGTAAGAACTGAGAGATATATTTTAGAAAATCGCTAATAAAATAATGTACAACGAAAATACAAAACAGCCGATAACACTTAGACAGAATACAAGTAGCTCTCCAGCTTGACTTTGGGCGGAGGTCGTGTGAAAGGAGAGAACCAAGCGAGAGAAAACCTTCCGAACACAGCTTGAATACTCTTCCAGCGAGACTTGCGGACCCAACGTGCCTCCTCCTTCTTGAGTTGCTCTATACCCTACAACCAGAGAATGATCATAATAATTACAGCACAACAGAGTAAATTATTAGGAGATCAACAGTATTACAGCACTAAAGATTACAGTCAAATTTTTCTATATGCGATCAAGACACGGTGGACTGTCTTTTTTTAGGTTAGCAGAATCTTTTTAACCTTGCATATACCCGTCCACATAGCTGTGTGTGGAAGGCATCCAGCTCATCGATCATCGATGCTGTAACAAGGGGTGAGACAGTACAGTACAAGGGTGAACTGTACTGAAAAATCCAAACCAACAAAATCGCTGGCCAGAAGTATGTGGCGCTAACGACTGTGCACAGAACACTTTGACGATGAACTTCTTTGTCCGTAGTGTGATCATGTGTTTATGCTTGTTAAATTTTCAAGAAGAAAAAAACCCTTATATTCATGAAACAGACTGTAGGTGGATATATAAAAATTGAGGATATTTATAGGCATGCACTGTGGATGCGATACGCCCTGGTGTGGATTAACTTTCGCACTAGAGAGTAGTACGACTATCCGCAGTGCTATCCTGATAATTATACCAATTTGTTAATTTACAAGGCAAAATGTGGTTCGGATTGCACTATAAACTGTAGGTCCATTAGTTGCCATTGGCTGTATGGTCTGTTACAGTAGACTTTCTCTTCTCCGGACACCTTTTAACCGGACATCTGTTTAACCGGACTACACTCGGCGGAAATGACATCTCTTTAACCGGACTATTTTTATCAGCACATTGGTTTATCAGGACTAGATCGGCAGGAAGTGGGCGGTACTTAAACAACTGTTCTTGTGGGAAAGATTTGAGTCCAGTTATCACATTAATAAATGCAATGCTCTCCTAAATTTAAGTTGAATATCACAGGAAACGGTCTGTTTTAACAAGTTTTTGTGGACGTCGGTTTAACCGGGAAACCCGTTATCCGGTCTGGCCTCGGTCCCGAGGAGTCCGGATAAGAGGGAGTCTACTGTAATTGACAGCTGAGTCTAAGAAACATGCCGGCCCTAGTCACTAACAGGACTACAAGATCACGCCACTCATCCTACACTCATCTCCATTCATACTTGGCTTAAAATACCTACATTTGTAGGGTCGCCATTTCAGAACAAAGTGTTAAAAAAGGTACATTGAAAAATTGACCTTCTACTTGCTCTATTATTTACAAGTAAAATAAACAGGATAAATGAAAACATAGAATCAACTCAATTATGATTTCTGTTTATTGTATTAACCATAAACTACAAGTAAAAACCTATTGATCATTTAATTCACAACTCAACTCAAAAAATAAGTATCAAAATCTTCTTGTCTATTTTTAAATTGTTAAAAGAACCTATTGGCTTGCGCGTTTTTGGCAGAATGTAACTTGGTTAACCAAAGGAACACCAAGAAAAAAAAAAGACATAGAACAAGCAAAACTTAGTAATTTAATACAAACAAGTTCTTAAAACTGTGCGGCACTGTGTTTTTAAAAATTGTGTTTTTTTTTAACACAAAAAAAGGTATAGACAAATTTATTTCAGATCTTGGCTTGTCTAATTTAATCTCTTGTTAATCACCATTTTTCATCTTTTAAAATATTTAACTTCTTGAGAATAATTTATTAGCATCAATGTCTTACCGTCTCATCATTCCAGATAGCATGCAACTGGGTAACGAGCATTGCCAGAGTGAAGATGGCGAACAGAAGCGCTTCAAACACCAGGAACACAAGCAGCACCACCGTCGTCGGGGGAGAGTAAGAAGAACAATCCTTCCACTCTAGTCTCACGCATGTGTAGAACTGGTTGGCGACCAGAAACAGGGAATGGATGGATATCGATGCTATGTAGAACTGCAAAAAAATTATAAATGTTTTCTTTCTTTCATTGGGCAAAACCAAAAATTCTAGCACTTACAGAAGAACACATTCCATGTTAAGTTTACAGCTTGGTCTAGAGGAGAACAGGTGGCAAAATTAAGGTGAAAAGAAATTTAAGATCAGAAAAAGCAAAGTCATTGAGATAAATACAGAGTTTATTTACACTTAAAAGATTAATCAAAAATTACATTTGAGACTCAAAAACTCAACTCAAGGTTGGCGGAAACATGGAGGACAGCAGCAAAATATTGGACATAGATACGAGTTGTATTGTTGAAATATACTATTTTGTTTGAGAAAAGTGTCTTGAACTTAACTGATTCAAACTATCAATGTCTCAAATGAAAACCTTTTACTAGGAGTATTTTAAGACCAAGACATACCAAATAACTAAAATAAAAATGGAATTATCATTGAGTAGATAGGTCCTAAAGTATTATAATTATTGTTGATTCATGATTCAGCAGGGAGCTTGAGGTATGTCGGATCTAAATAACCAATAGCTCAAATTGCTGGTAATTCAGTGAAGGTTCTTAGAAAAAAACATATAGTATAATGTAATTAGAACTGGTGAAATACATCTTTCATTAGAATTTGAAAAAAAAACAAATTTGTAGGCTATTATTTGGTCGGATAATACAATAAATAAATCAATGTCAATGTTTGATGGCAAATCGGTGCATACTTTTAATTAAATAACTTCTTGATCAGCATTGTACATGTTATTAAATTTACGGAAAGTAAATAAAAGAAACGTCTTATTACACTTAAAACATATTTACGCTTATACTGTTATTCACAAGACGGTAAATACAAAAAAGATTACCACTTACCATCTTTTTTGTATATTTACCTTCTTGTGAATAACAGTAGCCTATAAGCGTAAATATATGTTTTAAGTGTTATAAGACGTTTCTTTTATTTACTTTCCGTACTTTTAATTTCAGACCAAAATTATAAAACTCGGCCAAACCGACTCCGAAACTAAAAACTAATATTTTTAAATATATAAATGCAATTAAATGCTATTACGGAGAGTGAAATATAGGCCTACTGTAATATTTAAGTAAGTAGGCTTCATAAATGGATGAATTAATGCCAAATATTCTACAAAAAAATTGTTTTTGTACAAAACGATCCGGCTCTCTTTTGGTTAGAGGTGAATCAGGCACTGTTTCAATATATTAATACATTCAAACATGTCATTTTGCCTGGGTCCCAACAATGATGCAAGGACAAGAGCTAAAATACCAATAGTATGGCCAACAGTTGAAATAATCTAAATCACAATACAAATTGTGTTAAATGTTCTTCATTTAACTGAGGTTAGGCATACTCCTTCATTTTCCTATCAAGGTCGAATTTTAATAAGCTAATTTAAACTGCATAAAGCGACTTACGGTAAAAAGAACAAAATACTTCTGATTATCTTCACCAACACAGTTGTTAACCCAAGGACAGTGGTGATCCATCTTACGAATACATCTGAAACAAACATATTTAAATCAGTTAAAACTTCTGTCACAGTTGCCAACCTCTTATAAGGAAATGTACCTTTGAGTAGTGAGGAGATGTACCTTTGAGTGGTGAGGATACCGTACCTTTGATTAGCGAGGAAATGTAACATTGAGTAGCGAGGAAATGTACCATTGAGTAGCAAAGAAATATACCTTTGACTTGTGAGGAAATGTACCTTTGAGTAGCGAGGAAATATACCTTTGACTTGTGTGGAGGAAATGTACATTTAGTAGTAGGGAAGAGTACCTTTGAGTGGTGAGGAAATGTACCATTGAGTAGCGAGGAAATATACCTTTGATTTGTGAGGAAATGTACCTTTTAGTTGTGAGGAATATGCCTTTGACTAGAGAGGAAATGTACCTTTTAGTAGTGAGGAAATGTACCTTTGGCATACAGAGCAGTGGTGGGCTCTTTCAGGTTTGATGCTGCAACACTTGGGACACTTGAAGAAAACGTGACCTTCTCTGCAACCCATCTGTTGAATCATCTCTTTAGTGGCGTTGCCTTTGGGAACTGACCCCTGTAGAGTGAGAAAATGAACAGAGTAAATGCAAGTTAATAAACATGAATACAATTTAAAATTTAAAACTATTGCCTGTGTAGAGCAATAGAAGGGAAGGGGGGGGTAGAAAATAGAAGGGGGTAGAGGGGGGGTAGGGGTTGTTGTTTGTGTTACCCTATTCATTTCGCTTTGTGTAGCATTTTGTTGGGTCTTTTTGTTACTGTAAGTCATCTTTTTATCACTATTCACTAACACTGAAGTCTATATTTTGGTCACATTTTTTAACCTCAATCTAGAATGACGAGGGTTGTCCAGAAAATAAAAGACGTTATGCAATCACCACCATCTTATTATCAGAGCATAACTACACTCGGCATGCATCCAGCTACACGGCCAACGCTAAATGTCTGTTACTTTTTGGAAAGGTTTAAAATTAACCTCTACTTGTTAACTATACCTCTGCAAAGTACTCACCGGATCAGTGAACATGGTGCGTAAGTGAGAAGCAAACGCAAGAACGGCCAGTGTTTGGAAGATAAGCATGTTGATATAACTGTAGATCGGGTATGGACTGGGTATCAGCATTACGCTCATCACCACAAACTCTGCATAAAGGATCAGCAGCCAGGTCAGGATGGCACAGACAACTCCGCATATGTCCTGTAATCACATGTAATAGTTTAACACATGTCATGTTTGTCTTGCCACGGCCTTGTACCTAGAGGAGGCCAAGCTAGAACCCATTTCCAATAGGAAAATGAAAACAACCTGAGTTAGAATGTTGAACAACAAATAACATTATTATGTGATAAGATGCTTAGGCCTAATAGTCTTCTCGTTTTAAAGTTGATTTGTAAATTCGGCTTTTTTCTAAACATAATTTCTACATAACTAGGTCCACTTGAAAATACAGTTCCTCGCCAACTTCCTTTTTTGATTGACTAAGTTTATTGTTTGCGTTACATAGAGTCACAGACAATAATTAAATAATTGGTTTTAAGGCCTAACGAAGCATTACAGGGTAGGCCTAATGGACGACACAGTCGCAAAGAGGATGCAAGGAGAAGAATACTTCCCTTTTCCCCACTCCCACTTACCCACTTTTTTGTGGGTATTTCGTCATTTCTAGTTAGAGCGAGGAGATCCTTCTTGATCCTCTTTAGGCTAATGAGTGTTGCCATTTTTCCATCTGTTCAATGTGATTATTTCATAGTCAACATTTTTGAATGAGAAAAGGAGTGATCCTATTAATAATTTTGTACAGAAAGTTCTAGGCTAGCTGGTTTGTTTTTTTAAATCTTAGTCAATTGCTGAAACTTTTGTTTTTAAAGGGGAAAGGTTGCAGGTGGCCAAGTTACCGGGGAAGAGTGTAGAAAAGGGGCGGTAGTATGAAATGGGAGGGGGTTTGCACTCGTGTCATTGAAGTGGGATGGGCATTACTGATTGGAACCAAGAACTTAGGTCAAACACAATCCCATATTAGGTCAGAACTATCCCAAAAACCTTTAAAGGATTTGATAATGGGTCTTTGAACCCAAAACTAGTCATCTTAATTAGCCTAACTCACTTAAGTGATTTCTAAAATACTGGTGAAAATGCACGAGATCCACATAGGCCTAGATAAGTTTAGGTCTAGATATCAAATAAACTCCCAATTAACTTATAGGGCAGCCTAGTCAATAATTTGTCAGTGACAATAAAATAGTGCAAATTATATCGAGGACAACCAAACTTGGATATACAACCATGTTTAAGAATAAGAATATTTTATTTCCATTGATCTGTTTGTACAGAAATAGGACAAGTCAATTTGTTATACAATGTTATACAAATGTAACATATAGCAAATACCTATATTCTTATACCTAAGTTTCCTTTTTGGTACTCACCAACAAGGATCAAACGTAATTTTTTTCACTCAGAAAGTGTCCTGAGTTTCCGGGAAATTGTAACTTAGGTATTACATTTAAAAAATTAAGGGTAGATTAAAGGTTTCGGTTCTGGTTTCGGAGCGAGTCCAAGTTCTTGCAGTGACGAAGATTTTCTTACTTTTTCGAATTCAGCGTGAAAAATACTGGGTAATTTTTTATAGTTTGGGCCGTTTAGGGGAACCAAACAAATTTTTAAAAACTCTTCTATCTCATCATTTTAGTAAACTATGATATTATTATTTCAATAGAAGTTAAATAGATGTCAAGAAAAAATATACCACAAATTATTATTTTTGGGATAGAATTACATTGACCAAAGAATACTCTCAGAGTATAGTGTAGTGATAAAGTTTCCCGAGCAAAGCTCGGTCCCCAGGTACTATTCTCTGAAACAAGAACTTACTCTGATGCACCATAGCCAACCGCCACAGCAACGGTTGTGAGGGTCCACCTCTCTTTTGTACAGCAAACTGTCATAGTCCATCTTCCATTTGTTGTCTACAAGCAGAAGCAAATCAGTAATATCAGGTTGGATATAAGCTAATTAACTGCTGTCAATTTATTGAAAAAACAAAAGATAACTGTGCTTAAAGATCCAAATGCTATAAAGTTAATTGACACAAAAAGCATCAATCAGGGACTAAAACATATTAGAAAGAATGTACAGTTAAGTTTAAGGGTTAAAAGATATACCTAGCCTATTACAGATTGGATACTGTCCAGGTTCAGTAGTCTATGTACAAACCTGTTTGTTTAATTAAGTTAGTAGATTGGAGTTAAGTTGAATAGTTACTGAAAATCTTATCTTTGGTTGGTAACATACCGGTACTAATAATAAGTTTTAATAATAAAACATCTTTGCCACCAAGACTGATATTCAAATATAGATACGTACCTTGGTCCGTCTTCAGTCTTAATTTTAGTCTATGGATGACTAGTTTTGGGTACAAAGACCCATTATGAAATCCTTTAAAACATTGTGTAGAAGATGGTCAAAAATCCGACGGAAGTCTTCATCAGTATATAAATACAGGTCAACACATAGAATAAAGTTTATTATTAAGTTAAAAAAACACAAATTACGAAACATTTAATACGATAGGCCGGCCACATTTAACACGGGACAAACCGACACAGGTTACATGGTGGACACGACAGAACTATCCCAAAAACCTTTAAAGGATTTGATAATGGGTCTTTGAACCCAAAACTAGTCCATCTTAAGTAGCCTAACTCACTTAAGTAACTTAAGTGATTACTAAAATACACTGGTGAAAATGCACGAGATCCACATAGGCCTAGGCTACTCAAAACGCAAATAGGATAACAAGATTAATTGGTAAGCTGATCCATCAGCCAGCCTTAGTTACGTACTTAGGTAGGCCTAGGTATTATTGTTTTTTTTTTTCATAACTTTACGTCTACAGCTAGTTCTGTGTACGCTGAAAAATTAATAATTCCGTGTTTGTAGGCCTACTTTATATGCATAGGCCTAGCTCTCTGGGAATCCATATGGATAAACCCAAAATTAAGCCTAACCTATGTTAGGCTATAGGCCTTCTTTATACCTTTTAACTTCTTGATACATTCAAACAAATAGGCTAATAACCCAAATGAAAACTATGTGTTCTTTTAATATTTTAAGTGCCTAAGTCGAACAAATACCTAGAAGAATCCTAAACTAGGCCTAATTCGAAGCCTAGGCTAGACCTAACTGAACCCTTCAAAGTTCTTACCTCGATATAATTTAAATTTTACTATCACTGTCGTAAATATTTTGCCTGCCAATCACTTTCTCGAAATTCACTTTTAAATGCATTGCAAATACGTTTAGAAAAAAATATATTAGATATAGTACCTTAAGATAAACAACAAAAATATTTTTACATTAGCAGAATAAGCCTAGCAGTTAAGCAGTTAGCAGAAATCTTAAACGCAACTTTAAGTACTGACGACTCTAACCTAACCTCCAGTAACAAGAAGAAGATAAACATGCAGGAGAATAGGAAAGCTAGTTTAAAATAGTAACAGCTTTGATTTTGTCCTTAGACAAACATCTTTATTCTATGGCTTAATCGTGTTTATTCTATGCTAACAGGCATGGTCTAACATTATTATGATGGAAAAAGAATTATAGGACACCAGACAAGGAGAAGGAATAAGTTTAACCACTCGCAATAAAGACAAGTGAGCAATTGCCGTTCTGTTTGTAGTCTGCGATCTGTGATAAAAAATTGTGTTTTCAAAAATAAAGTAGGTACCGGCAACACTACTGTTCATAGAAACTACGCCTTTCATCCCCGTTACAAGACAAACAAAATTCAAATTACATTTGTTTTTGTTTAAAATGTGTAAATACAGACAAGTGCTTCAGCATGACACTTTTAACTTCCTTGTTTTAAACTTTAAAAAATTTAGTAATGTTTAACTTCATTTATCATTATTTGCAAGTAGAATAATGAAAGTACAAATTTAGCACAATCATAAAATGAAGCCGGCTTATCTCCATAGCAAACTCAGCATTTACGGCGTCAAATCGAGAAGTAGTTGGAGTTGTCATGAGACATTTTTATGTACGTGAATATAAATTATTGCTGATTCAGATTCATAGGCTTGCAGTTTGTTTCCTTCTTGCCCATTAGCCTTTAAGCCTTTGACAACAAATATTCTAAAGAGCAAAACGAACTCCAAACTGAATAAAGCTCTCTGATTCAGAGCTTTAGATACAGTAGTTTGTATAACTTGTTTAACTATTGTCAATTCCAAGAATATACGCCATCATGTTTTGATTTAACCTCAAAATTTGACAGGTATGAACACAACGCGGAACGCAGTACTGCCAAAAAGGTTCACTTTCAAAGATATTTCACCACGCTTCTAGCTAAAAAATCGAAAATCCAACTATAAAGCACAAACTATAAAATTAAATCTAGAATACAGTAGTGCTAAATCAAGAAACACATGCTATACATAATATTCAGATTTTACAATAGGAGGACAGGTACTACTACGGTACTACTACAAGATCTACTCAAAGTCAATGCTACAAGCAAACAGTTTTAAAGGTTTACTTTTGTATCTAACAATAAGTAATTATAGCTCAGTGTAAGTAGGTATACTTACTCACTTAGCAAGTAGTACACTATATACTGCTGCGAATTCGTTAATTGACTATATTATAACACTACAAGGGTCATATAGTCTTAAAGTATTATATTGTCTGTGGTACTATGTAGATAAAGGTGGCCGTGCTATAGCACATAGACTAATAAAGAAGGCATATTTAATTTATGGCAGGACGTATCAACCACTGAATTGACTTGACTTTGCTATCAACAAGTAATTTATTACCTGCTTACTTGCTTGAGGCCAGACATTTTTAAGAGCTGCGCCAAATTTTGTAAATGAATAAATTACTTTATTAAATAATAATGCACCTACTCGACATGTAATACAAGGGACTAAAATATAACAATTATTATTATACACTTTGCTCTTGTTTCCCACATCTGACTTTTAAACTGCTTTGAAAAAAGAGCGTGAAGTTCAAGGAATGTGATCTTAATTTACCAGCTGATTAAAGTGTAGTAAGCTGACTTTTCATTGGTGGTAAGAGGATAACATTTGTAACGTTCTTGATTTTTAGCGAATGACAACCACGGTCCACGAATTTTAGCTTTTTTTTAAATACAACAGTGAAAAAAACTTATAATTTTCTGTTTGTATATGTGTCCACTGCCACTCTGTTAGCAGCATATTGTACTGTGTACAGACTGTCATTTCCAGCTGTCAGTGTCAACGTCAACTAAACTAGTGAGTGTAGTCAGTGTACTGTAGTTTCAACCAAGTGGGAGTGGTGAACCTGTTCTTGTTGATATCAACGTCTCGATTTCTGATCAGTGCTCAAGAGACCTAAGTTATCAAAAAACCACAAAACTAACCCGTTTTCCTTTTACTAGAATCGCCACCAAGGATTTCAAAGGTAAAACTGACTCCAATGTTTACTAGGCTATTTTATTTCATGCAGACGAAATGGGCTAGGTTATGTTCAAATTGGCAACACAAACTTTCTATATTAAGTATACAACCGACTGTTTTCTTGCGAGCGAGAGAGTATGAATAGACTATATATTTAAATCTATCTTTTTCATATCCTACTTTGTCTTAAACTTAATCCTTCTTAGTTAGCTTGCAACTTATTTTTTTGTACACTTCTCCCCTCTGAATCTATGGGCTAGTCCCTACTTGAACCTTGGCTTTTTAACTGTAATTCTCTGTAAGCTAGTTTAAAGACTGACTCATTATAGGCTTTTGTAATCCACTTCAGATAGGATGGATTCGCGTGTCAACTAACCTAGATAGTTAACGGTATAAGTTAATAGTTGTCTATGATAAATAAAGCATAAGTTTTGGGTTAGACTTACCCTTATGTTAGTCTTTAAAGTTATTGTAGGCTACCAATTACCTACGGTACTTACAATGAGGCAAGGCCTCCACAGCAAATGTATTATCAATTAGGTCTATGAATATCAATCATTGATTTGGGGACACCACCTAGGTGTGTAGTTTAACCGAAATATAAGTGTAGAATGGTGTGAGGTGATGTGTGTAGCTTTGTTACTGACTAAGATCAGCTGTTTCACTAGTCAGAATAATTTATTTAAAGCCCAATGATCAGGGCCCAGTTCCGACTTCCGAGCCATCAATAAGCTATACTGGTAGGCCTGCGCCTACAGACTTTTCTAAAGATCGAACCGGCAAAATTCTTCTACTGAGTAGTAAGCTTGTTAGATTTTCTTTGGGTGGATTAAAAAAAAAAACTTCAGCATCTTTACTTTCCCTTACCTGCTGAAATTCTATTATATTCTAATGCATGTAGGACTTGGTCCATCTCTCACTACACTGGATGAAACTTGTGGTAGGCTACATGTAACATTTCCTTCTGCCTTATTGAATATGGTAGTTATGGATTTGTAAATTTTTTGGAAAATTTTCTGGCTTCTTTTTAACTGTCACTGAAGACTCAAGAATGAACAGAGCAGGCAGTATGAGTATTTTAAGTTGTATACAAATTGGTTAACAATGTGATAAGTAAGGTACTCTCTCAAATGTTCTATACTAAGCGTTTTTGAAGCAAAAATATACACTCCGCCAAAGGACTATTCCCCAAAAAATATCTCACCGTAATTCATTATGCTATGGAAGCATCCAAAATAAACTTTCAACAGTAGGTAGCCTACAGCTTGATCAACTATCAATTGCAGCCTACGTGTGACACACAGCTGTCAGTCTTGCTGCTGTGGCTTTCACTTGGTTGCCATTTTAAGTCACTGGCTATTGTCAGACCAAGATACTTAATAAAGTCATCTACAACAAAACTAGCTGCATCAAGGCGAAGTGAAGTGTTTTCAGGCTTCTTACGGTTGTAGAATTGTATCTAGCCTTAGTTTTACCCCTATTCAGTATAAGATCGTTTTCTTTACACCATCCGCTCATTTCATATAGGCCAGTTTGTGCCTTGCCTCTTAGCCTACCCAAGTCACTGTCCTGCACCAAGTAACTCACAACATCAGCAAAGAGCCACACTTTCCCTTCAGCAAAAATTTCAGGCAAATCGTTGACATAGATCAGAAGCAATTAATACTGGTCTAAGGTTGGAGTCTTGCGGCACTCCGGTGTTTATGACAGGGGAAATTGTAGAACGGTACTTTCTTGTTAGTCCACCAGACCCTGAATATTTTATTGTTACAATCTGGTGTCGGTCCTGTAGATAGGTAGAAAACCATTGGAGTGGCTTACCTTTAATTCCAATATTTGCCAGTTTATTTTTCAGTTTAGAGTACGTTCACAATGCATGCTGGTTTTCTGAGTCAGATTGTCGGCCGGCTTATTGTTTCATGCTAGTAAACGTAAGCGGCCATAGTGCACCTGCATGCCAATTTTCTGCGCGCAGGCAGTGTGACTCAGACTTTTACCGGAATGAATTGTTCATTCTGGTTTCAGACAAGCTGCCTATCGGACTGTTGATTTTTGTTTTGTATTGAGTGTTTCATTACATTGACCATAGATATCTACAAATTGCTATCAAAAGTTCAACACATTCCAGCAAATTGCAATAAGCGCATCAAAGTGCATTATTTCTAAAAATATAGCAACATTGAACTTAAATCTGAATTAAATCTGCTGCTTTAATTAAATTGTTTGTCATATTGCCTTTTTATCAAATGAACAATCTAACTTGTGGACATTTTTAAGAGGATTAAATTAAAGGTGTACAAGCTCATCCTGAAATATAAAGAACACCTGTTGTCGTCTGCAAGAAGTTGCGGGAAAATATGTATGTATCCCTTAAATAGTTCTCAACACAGACAGGTACACCTTAACCTGCTCGCACTATGGCCACCACAACGGAGTCAGACACTCGGCGCCAAAAATCTGAATCTGACTTCTCGTGGACGTACCCTTACTATGGGAGAGAAGGTCAAAGGCCTTTGTCATGTCATAAAACAAGCACAGGGATTCCTCCAACACATCCCTGAGAATAAATAAACTGTTGTAGTTTGCTTGTTTACGGATATCTTTTAATCAAATTTGGCAATTTTGTTTATTTCAAACTAAGCTATCAACATTTCAATAAACAACACACCTCATACAACAAAGGCTACTTTAGCAGCAAACATAAGTGAACATCAAAATTAATGTTATTTAAATTGAAAATACAAATGTGACAATTATAAGGATATACATATTTTAGTGGAAATCTAGCCAGGTAAATGGAAATTCGCTTAGTCTGCATGTTTGCTACGGCTGGGGTATTTTACTTGACCTTGACATTTGTTTCTCCC